GACTACTGTCCTTTCGCAAACAGGCTAGAACTACTGCTCTATGTGTTACGTGGATCAAAATATCACAGTATTGTAAGCGCGTTTATAATCTTGTCGTATAACAGCTACAATTAACATTAGCAAAATTCCACAAAAAACAAAATCACCTTAACATTTTGCTTAACATCATTAAAGAGGAAACATGACCTGCTAAGACATTAAAGACAAATCTCAAATTTCCACGAAAAGTTTGTGATCAGTATGTTCAACACAGGAAGAAATTCCAGAGACAGTTTGTTGAAGTTAAAAGCTGTATTATTTTTGGATGTTTGGTAAAGTCTCCTGAAATATCCCAAATCGTGACACACTACAAGAAACAACATGCTTTCACAGATGTGGACATAAAGAAGTTGATGTTGACTCATCACAAGGAGCATAACATGAATTACAAGTCTCCGGGAATTGTATTATTTCGGAAATTCTTCGTGTTAATGTGGCTGTTAGGAAAGTAGCGAGGAGAAAGAGGACAGTATGTGAAAGACCATCCGGTAGAATTTCATGTACTTCCCAATAACAGTTTGGCAGTGTCCCGAGACCAATATGTGGAATTTACTATAACAACATGTGTGCTGCCAAAATGATAACGAGATGGTGATCGTGTTTCATTTTTTAGAACTTTACCGAGGAAGGGGGTCAATTGTTGCAATTATTGGGGATTTTGTTATATAATTTATTTTGTGATTTATTTACATGCTGTTGATATTTATATTGGGTTTTTTGATTGTTATTAGAACAAAGTTATACACATTCAAATTTGTTCTGAGTGGGGAGCAGTGTTACGGTGATGATTAAATTGGTTTCTTTTTAATGTTGAAATTATATCCCTTCGGTAAGATGGATATTATTTTATTTACATGTCTGTTTACGAGCTATTTTCGATTTAAATACTGTTTATAACTTGATAACTTCGTTCATAGAATATAAAAAGTACTATTTAAGAAAACTTTATAAAGTTTATAGTAGAATTGTACCTTAAAGTACAATTATTTTGGTATAGCTATATTTCGAAGTGTGCAAATTACACATTGTCGAATAAAGGTATATATATACTTTACTTTAGACCATGAGATTACTATGAATTTCAATTTCGTTTATTTATAACTTTTGAATAACCTTGTGAATACGAGATTACATTTCAAGTTTAGAGATCCTAATGGAGTAACTTAATGTAAACTTTCCATTTACGTTTTTCTTATAATTTTTGCCTTTTCGTTTTAATAAAGTTCAGTCTCTAAAATGTAAAATAAAACATTTTGCTTTAAGTTAAAAACTAGCTTCCTCAGTGTGTTTGTTCAATATGAGGGTCATATTTGATTTATAAATATATATGAAAGTGGCCAGCTGTTCAGTCCCTCAAATAGCATGTGTGTGTAGTTTGACTATGTATTGTCTGATAATATGAAATTTATTTATGAGAACTATAAAAACCTGAAGAATTGCGAGCCTTGGCGAGCTTTTATGGACCGTTTCGAAAGGAAATCAATACCTTTTATATTATCCTACTATACTGCACGTGAAAATCACTATAATGTGTGCTAAAAATAATATTCATCAGTGTAATGGTCCGATTTCTGTCTCTCGGCCCATCATGATGTCGCTAACAGAAATGCTTTGTATGTTTACTGTTCATAAACAGAAAAAAAATTATATACGCATCTCTTTATACATTCAGAAAATGGAGCTGATTGCAGTATAATTGACAGTAAAACCAGTTGTAGTTTCATGCTTGCCAAGTATAAAAATTTTTAATTTTATTTCTTTGTAGATATTACTACGCGTGACAGTTCAGTGCCTTCATGGTCCTGCCCACCAATTATTAGCTCGACGACAAGAGGCAGAAGGGTTCCATCTGTTATTTGTTATGCATTTATAATCTGTGATGTATAACATGAATCTATGTATTCCCATCGAACAGGTACGTATTGCCCTGATATATTTTGCAACCTGGTGCAGAAAAATTGGTACCGTTTATGTTATTATGCAAGTGGTAGAGACACGGTTGGTATAGATTCTAGTAAATCAGCTGGCAGCCGTTGCATTACCAGAGTTTCGACAGTTCTTTCCTCGAAAGTTTATGAGAGCCTTTACATTTACTGATTTTACAACGGGTTGGCCCTTTGTGCCAAATACTAGTATTGTACTTGGGTTTCCAAATCTTTTGACCTATGTACTGCTATGGAGACGTGAGATTCAAAAAGAGCACCCAAATACAAAAAAACATCGGCAAACAAGTACCGAGGCAATAAGCCGAAAGAATAGTCCAGAAAATCAAAGGTCCCTTCCATAATTGTGTCTGGTAGTTCCAGGTCAGTTCTTGGATGTCAGCCTTTGAACCCTTTAGGAACATACACATTCCTTCAAACTACAGGAGCATTTAGAATCAGATCCATACTGTGATTTTTTATCCATATCCAGGATTTAGGGGGGTGGATATTTTAAGATACCTTGTGTCATGGTTGAGTTAGTAAAAGACATTGCCAGTCTTCTCCAGGAGAGTTATCAAGTTTTATAGTGTCCTTTGTCGGAACTAAAGTTCCTCCTTTATAAGATGGAGGGGGTGTTGTGTAATTGCCCCATAGATCAGGGGGTTTCCTCTGTGTGGTGTGATCTACTGGTAGAGAGCAGAGAGACCCAAATGGAGACATGACACAAGAGTCACGCCTGACCATGCTCATCCTCTTCTTGACCTGTATTTAGTTACAACAAGACGGTACTCAAAAGACCAAAGAGAATCCTTGTAGAACTTCAACCTTAAGGTAAATATCCTCACATATTAACACCTGTATATAACATAATCCTCGGGGTATACGCAGAGCCCAGCTAGACAGGCCAAATAACACTTTAATAGAGAGAATCGTCTCTTAGATTTTACTTCCGTTGCAACGTCACACAGGTGAATGAAAAATAAGTTTGTCGTTGGTAGAACAAAAAGTTGTTCAGTCTTTTTTTAAAGCATTTTCTCTTATATATTCTGCATTGGACAAGCTATCGGAGTTTGCCAAGTTAACAGGGAAATGGAAGGTGGACAATTTGAAGATCCGGGAACGACGTCCAACAAACCAGCAGACAGGTAATAAAACTTTGATTGATTGATTGTTGGTTGCTTAACGTCCAGTGGCAAATATTTCATGCATATTCAGGACGAGAATAAATTAACAATAAATACAATAGATAGGTTCTGTAATAGGGGCGTCCGGATTTTAGGTCGGAGAAATTTAGACTGCCACGGGAAATGAGGGTATATTGGATAGGGACAGAAATTTAGCCTTGCAACAGGTCACCTACGGACCCCTCAAAGAGTTGTTGCAAGGGTTCTTAACGTGCAAAGAGCGTGGCACTCTCTTTACACGAGGCATCGGATTTAACGTCCCCATTCTGACCGGACGTGGCTGCAAATTTGTACATCCCGCACAGCCAAACGGACGCCCCATTTTAGCAAGGGTTTTACTGCCGGTCGTAGGAAGACCAAAGGTGACCATACTTCTATTCCCCAGTCACCCTTGGGGGGAATAAAACTTTGAAGTTTTAAGGATGATATATATGTAAAGTAGGCTTAAACTGTCACTGTAGTTAAGAACAAATGTAACTATTATTATTTATTACAAACAGATAGCCAATTGGCAATTGTCAAAGAACAATAATGGGCTAAGAAAATAGACAGTGTATACATGTATATATGGTTTGCCACAATCATCATTGGGACGTTATGAAATTACAAAGTGAGTGTTTCAGGATTTTGAGGACTACCGCTTATTTAATTCCTCGACTCAAATTTAAATTCTTTGGCTGAACTGCATGTACACAGAAAGATAGAATGTTGCATCAACATAGTTGCCTAGAACCTTATTGTATTTTCTCAGTTTCTCTTCTACAAGTACATTTTTGTACTATTGTCTTTCAGGTGATGTGAATAATGCCCCTGACGATGATGGTGTTAATGAGGCGCCTGTTGAAGTCCATGTTGGTGATGTCCCAGGTGATGAAGTTGGTGATGATCCAGGTGATGAAGTTGGTGATGCCCCAGGTGAAGGAGTTGGTGATGCCCCAGGTGAAAGAGTTGGTGATGCCCCAGGTGATGAAATTGGTGATGCCCCAGGTGAAGGAGTTGGTGATGTTCCTGGCAATGGTGATGTTGTAGTGCCAAAACACCAAAAGTTTGGTATGTGATTATAATTTTTTTGTATTTTATTTCAGTTACAAATTTACTGGTAAAAATTTAACAAATAGGAATTTGCTTGTAGGTTCATTTTGCAGAGAAGCTCATTGTTGTTATCATAATCAATGTTTAAAATTATTTTTAATGATAGCAATCCCGTTTTATTTAACGATAATACTTTTTTAAGAGAACCTAATTCAAATGCATCGTCAAAATTTAAATCTCTTAGTGTAGCCAAGCATATTTGATCAAGGGCTATAAACTTGTGTTTCAGGTAACCAGAGTGATAATGCTGGTAACAAAATTGTGGTGCACACAACACAGGACATGATCCCATTTGAATTTGGTATGTAGATATAATAATACATGTACATGTTTACTACAGAAATAAATAATTTTAAAACAATAAATACCAATTGATTACTGATTTAAACAAGATTCTAAGAATAAAACTAGTTTATTTAAGGACAAAACCTGCCGCAAGTTGTCCAAGCTTTTCTAAGTTTGTCATCATGAAATTTGATTACCATGGTTTCCTTTATGTCACTGACATATTTAACTTTTTTGTAGATGAATCCTTTAATGGTATGATTGCGGTAGAAATTTCTTTCAATGACTCGGAAATGTTCTTCAATAATAGCATGGAAATTGAAAGCATAATAGAGGTCCTTAATCACAATACTGATGATGAGAATAACATACAGGAGAAAAAGTAAGTTTTATATCAATACTTCATATCACCAATTACATAAAGTTATCTCATTTTTACTCTATTTTCACACCTCCTGATTGATGTGGAAAAAAAAAATTTCTTGTTTCTAGATATAGATAGATTTGAAATCTTTAGTTAAACTACTGTAGAATATGTCAGCAACTGTATATTGTAGGATAATGAAAGCCAAGACATGAAATATACATTACATATATATGTTTTAAACAGTACACACAAAAAAACACCAAATTAGTTGTCATTGATTTTAATTTTTGGAATTCAGGTATAATTTAGGTCAATACATACTCGTGAAGTATGGTGTTAATTCACTCCCAGCTCTCGTAAGTACCAAGTTGGTTACAGTTTATTTTTATAATTCTTTATTTTTGTTGCATTGCATTTTTTTACCACATAAGACACTACAGTTGGCTTATTTGAAAGTAACTTCTATACCTTTTTGAATAAAAATGTTTAGATATATGCTTTGTGAAAATACCACAAATTAAACCATGTTGCCAAAAGTTGCCAAATGTTGAGTTTAATCTTAAAAGCCTAAAGTTATATTATCGCTATTTTGTTCATTTTTCCTTTGATGTTCAGAACTGTAAAGGTTCATATCACAGCTTTTCTCACTTTAGGCGTAAATGGTTCGAGCTAGAAAATCAATCTCATGAAGAAGACCAGCAATAATATATATTTATCAAACTGGTACAAGTTGCTGTTCATAGATCTTTATTTGAATTCTTCACAGCTCAAAGAGTCAGATGTATACAGGAATACACATGATGTTGTTTTGAAATAGTATCAAAATCTCCCTTTTCATCCTTATAAGCAAGCAAACATGTAATATATTTTATCTTGGTTTTTCATGTCGTTGACTGGCCTTGGGTGCAATATTTCTCAGATTGTAAAAAAGGGCCAGTAATGTGTGGAAAATTGATGACATCCGGTATACAATTACTGAGAAAGATGTTGTTAAAAGATTGGCAGCACCACATATCCAGATGTGTGGGCGCTGCCTTTGTTACACATTCGTTGGTAAGCTAATCCTTATTCTGATTTTTTTATTTTGAAGCTGTTTCATCAAATAAAAGCAAGCTAAAGAGGAATCAATATGACAATGAGTAAACAATTTTTGTATATATGTATGCAAGGAAATACATTTTTGTACTTTTAGTGTATTATTTCATGTATTGAGAATTAATTTGGCCTAACAGAGGAACTTATCAGTAATTTTCATTATTATTAAAACATATATGACCCAACCTGTTTGCCCATTCCATATAATATTACATTTTTGCCAATCACTCGGCTCACTTAAAATTTTTCCTTTTAGTATAATGCAAAAATACTGTGAAAAAAACCTATGCAGAATTTGATATGAAGTATCTTCGGAAGGTCCCTTATCTCAATCCAAGTTGCTGAAACAGTTCTAAATCCATATAACGTCAGATATAAAATACATACTGGGGACCTTATATATAACAAACCTTAAGATTCACTAATGTGTGATATGGGGATGTATCAAAAAAGGAATTTACTATTATTTATACAGTTTTCATATTTCATTGACAAAGTTTTTTTTTCTTTTTCAGATTTGTAGGATGGGCAGTGAATACTATTATTTATACAGTTTTCATATTTCATTGACAAAGTTTTTTTTTCTTTTTCAGATTTGTAGGATGGGCAGTGAAGACACAGTTTTGATTTTGAAAACAAATAAATCTATGGAATATTTATTGTTTGTTTGTAAATGTTTGTTTAGTTGGGGTTTTTGCACTGTTTGCAGCACATTTTGGTGATTTTGTGACGGCCAGTTTTTATTGGTTGAGGAAACCGGAGTACCAGGAGAAAATCATCGACCTTCGGTAGGAAATTTGGTAAACCTTGTCGATTAAGATCGGAGTCGAACACACCCCGCCACAGGTGATGAAATGTTTATAATATTCAAATAATTATACCCCATGCCTTTAAACAGTGCCAATTATGTCTTGGTGTAACCTGGTACCTGATACAAACATTTAATTGACTTAAACTATTAGGGGAAAAAACTAACTTTGGAAAAATACAGGATGTCAATTATTGAAGGACAAGTTATTGTTTTGCAGAATTTCAAATTTTCTAGGATTTCCAGTTAGTCATTGTTAATTAATGTAAGTGTATTCACCAATCTTGACAATAAAAGCTGAAACAAATAACAAAATATCATAGAAATAATAAGGAAAGTAATGATGGTGTCTACGTTACTTACGTAATTTTGTGAAATAAATAGAAATAAAATATAGTTCATTGTTAAAAAATCATAATGGTTGCCTTTTAATCTAATTAAAAGAAATGATTTCAACAACTTCTACATTATATATTGTTTTAATACTTCTGTTAACCCAAGATCTACAATAATTTCTCCTCTATATTACGTAAGTAACGGTGTCTCCATATACTGTTCCAAAAAATACAACACAAAAAAACAGAAGGCTCGAAAAAATAAATGTGAAGGATAGAGCTAACACTTCTCTCTTTTATTACCACTTATTAAATGAATCAATCCTTTTTGAAAAAGAGAAGAGGTGCATGTTGTGGACACAATGTTACATACGTAATATACACAAGTACCATATTTGAATTGGGAACCAGCTGAAAATGAATGACAATGTTATCTTTTGAATAATTTATCTGAATTTATTGATATTCAAGCTTTGCAAATACAACATGAATAACAATGAAAAACAGAATTTGTTTTTGAAGTATCAGGTCACACTTCAATACACAAGATTAGAGAATGAGTTATATAAAAGAGAGATTGTTGAGGTTTGTCATACATTGGTAGAAGAATTGCCGTTCCGAAACAGCTAATCGCCCCGAACGAGAAGAGGGTCGACCCGCATCTTCGGGACGACTCTTGCTTCCGCAGGATCGATTTTCACATAAAAAAAAGAAAATGTGTAACAGTACGTCAGTTGAGTTATTCCATACATCGTGAGAAGGGCAGTTTACATTGCGTGTCTTATTTATTTACTACTTCATAATACGTATCGTCCATGAGCCAATTGGCGTCTAAAACGATCACTTGTATATAAAGAGAGACCTTGTATCAATCAAGTTTGATGAGGGTTGTCATACACTATGAGAAGCTTAATTTGCATTTCTCAATCATATTTGTTATCGGTGAGATTCATGTCACAATAACATTTAAATTTAGAAGTAAACATTTAATAAAGATTTGTTTTTCCTTCAGATGCATATTTGCCGCCATTGTTTCCTTGTTTATGCCAGCTCAGCTTGTCGAAGCATGTTAGAAGCACACATTTACTAATCAAGTATCCTTGTGACGTGTGTTGGAAGGAGTATAAGCGAACAGACTCCTTAATGGTTCACAAGAGGAAGTTGCATCCAAAGGTATGGATATATCAGATTGTCGATATATGAAACATCATTGTTTTATGTCATGACAATGCTTTCATCAAGGATAATTTCATCTTCAACAATTAATACTTAGTGTCTTCTTTTATATAAATGGTTTGACACTATCCAACATATACTCGGTCTATATAGGAATAAGAATATGTGGTATGAGTGCCATCAGACAACTCTCCATCCAAGTCACAATGTACAGCCTTCAACAAGGAGCCTTAGCTCACATAGAACAGCAAGCTATAAGGGGCCCCAACATAACTAGTGTAAAACAATTTAAACCAAACGTCTGAACTTATATATGACTGATTGTTGGTTGCTTAACGTCCAGTGGCAAATATTTCATGCATATTCAGGACGAGAACAAATTAACAATAAATACAATAGGTAGGTTCTGTGATAGAAGCGTCGGGGATTAAGGTCGGAGAAATTAAGACTGCCACGAGAAATGAGGGTATATTGGATAGGGACAGAAATTTAGCCTTGCAACAGGTCACCTACGGACCCCTCAAAGAGTTGTTGCAAGGGTTCTTAACGTGCAAAGAGCGTGGCACTCCTTTACACGAGGCATCGGATTTAACGTCCCCATTCTGACCGGACGTGGCTGTAAATTTGTACATCCCGCACAGCCAAACGGACGCCCCACTTTGGCGAGGGTTTTACTGCCGGTCGGAGGAAGACCAATGGTGACCATACTTCTATCCCCCAGTCACCCTTGGGGGTTCTAATATATGTTATGTCGTAAGTAAACATCTGGACGAGTATTGACACAATTCTATATCTTGTTTTATAGTTATTCAGACAGGAAGCATAGCAGACAACATACACCTGCGACACGTGCCAACAAGTGTAAAGACGGAGAGAGGAGTTACAATTCCATCTCCCCAGAAACCATCAGGTAACATTATTATTAGCGCTGTTTTAAACAAATAATGCACACACTGTTACATTTTAACATATGGATACAGTTATTACTGATTGATTATAAAAGACGTCTTAAAAAATAACTTAAATTTGTTTTTGTACATATACAGGTTGGAACTCTACCATTGTCTCCATCAGCACCAGCATCAATACCCTGGTACCTTTGATAACTATATACTCAACCAGCACCAGTTTCACCATCAGTAGTTACATCACCAAGCATGGACAAGATGGTGAAGTAGCAACGAAGGAATACATAGTGCCAAATGGATTCCATGTCGTGGAATAGAAAGGGAACTTACGTGTCACGAACAACACTTCGATCTGTTAAAATGAAGCATTCATCTTTGATCAACCTGTCAACAGGTTTTCTTGTGGCTAAGTTGTCATTGTTGTATAAAAAGACGATACTGTAAGTTGTAAATTGAGTTCGCACAAGAGCATTGTCTAGCTATTCTTGATGTTTATAGAACTATTGCCTTTTCTAGTAGTGGCATGATATATCACGACTTTGCATTGAAGATTTGAACCTGCATAATCTTTTGATATTGATACAATTTAAAATTGACCGAAATAGCAAACTTCGGTAGCTACGTCACAAAAGAGTCATGAATATCCATGTCTTGATCACGTGGTATATGTTGCAAACAAACAAAGCAAGGCGTCCACTCAAGCTGACCAGAAAACAAATTTCTAGGGTGTTAAATATATAGGTCGGATTATATATTACTATATCAATACTTTTCTTATAATTGCATACAAATAGTAACCAACAAGATCACAAAACTCTTCATGTTTTAACCAGTAAATGTATCTGATGAAGTGAGGCAGATGATAAAAGAAACAATGAACAAGTCGTATGACACTATCAGTGCTGCTCGGTCTCCGAAAAAAACAACCCATGTAGGACAGATGACTGGGATAATAGCTAATGTATTAAAGCAAACTAAAAACTTCTTGTTTGGCATGTCTAGAGTCATACTACACGAATGAATAATAACTATCATAATTTAACAATTAGGAGATAGTATAACAATTCACGCACGTCTCCACCAGAGACCAGATGACATATAAATTTACACTGACGGCCTGATTTATATACAAAACAATGGACGAAGAACTCATGAGATGTATAGTAACAAAAGAAGACCACTGATTAACAGGCTTTCAACATAGCCAGGCACACACAGATATTAGCAACTTTAACCATGTTCCCCTAGTCTATATCTTTTTCGTATGTGCCATAATAGTGTGGGTATCATCATTTCATACAATCTACAACTATAACATAATGTATAATACCAGGTACTAAACTCCTCATATCAGTACTAACCAACCAACATGGAAATGCAACTGTTGTCTTACAATCAAAAATACACTTTCATATCATATATTCTCTACACTAAAGGAAACCTTTATTAATAATGATTATCTGCTAGCATCAATGAAATTAAAGTTGCACGTTTTGCACATAAATCATGTTACAGTATTGCTGGTTTATTTCAACATTTGTGCTGCCAGATATTAGCTATACATGCATATTTATAGTTAGATATATGAGTCTTTTCCAGGCATCACCTGTAGAAATAAAAGGATTCGTGCAACAGGAGAAGAAGTGCCCTTCAAAAAATTTAAAATTAAGGGACTTGAAAGGAGATATTGCCATATGCCTATGGTGTGACCATGTAAAAACAGTGACAGTAAAGGGGGAGTATATATTTTACTATAGCTGTGACAGACACATTTGACGACAAAGACAAAGCTGTCCCAACCATAACAAATCGAAATGCCTTTGCTTCTCTTCAGGTATATATCATGGTATATATGAGAAGGTATTCTGTTTCAAACTATCATTTAACCAGTTTCATACATGAACAATACACTGAAACTGATTAAAATATATACTTGTGCATAAATCTTATTTATTACAACTAATATTACTTCATGCAGCATTTGATGTTGATCAAAATGAGGGTGTTAATGTAGAAACTGACACTAAGTCTACTAAGATTGAAGACCAAATTTACTACTAGTATTCTTGATTTTTGCGTCCAGGCCTAATACACCAATCATACCAAGTACAGGCTGTTAGCATTTTAATTGCTAATTTACCATCTAAACTGGTCCATATTCTAAATTATCTATCTTATTTAATTTCTCTACAGTGCACTTTTCTGAAATAATGCACAAGATTATATCTATTTAAGTGAGTTATAATTTAATTATTTTAATACATTTAAATTAAGTTACTTTCTTACAATCAAAAATACACTTTCATATCATATATTCTCTACACTAAAGGAAACCTTTATTAATAATGATTATCTGCTAGCATCAATGAAATTAAAGTTGCACGTTTTGCACATAAATCATGTTACAGTATTGCTGGTTTATTTCAACATTTGTGCTGCCAGATATTAGCTATACATGCATATTTATAGTTAGATATATGAGTCTTTTCCAGGCATCACCTGTAGAAATAAAAGGATTCGTGCAACAGGAGAAGAAGTGCCCTTCAAAAATTAGCATTTTAATTGCTAATTTACCATCTAAACTGGTCCATATTCTAAATTATCTATCTTATTTAATTTCTCTACAGTGCACTTTTCTGAAATAATGCACAAGATTATATCTATTTAAGTGAGTTATAATTTAATTATTTTAATACATTTAAATTAAGTTACTTTCAATATTAGGTAAAATAGAAATTTACAGTAAAAATTTTCACAGGCTATATTATTCTGAACATCACACACTATCTAGTTTTGACTTTATATATGTTAAACCCTATTCAATTTTGCATATTTCAGAAAGCGCTCATATTGGATCATTAATTCTAGCAAAAAACTCGACACTTGTGCCCTCAAGGATGACTAGCTTGAACCCGACTATAACCTCCTTTGACACAACTTTCTTTATAAATATCAGCCGCTTTGACGCAACGTTCTCCGGAGCTACCATCTCCTAAAACACACATTTCTTCAGCTTTTACACCGCGCACGAGGCATACATATGGTTCTTCATTTCAACAGGTTAATTCTTAATCCAGCAACACATCTTCTGACAAGCGTAGGACAACCTCACTGGATAGATTTATATCATTAATATGTGGAAATATGTATGTATCAGCATTTTACTTTTTTTAATCATAAATATCCACTGGGGAATAGAAATATGGTCACTTGGTCTACTGCCGACCGGTAGTAAAACGCTTGACAAAGTGGGACGTCCGTTTGGCTGTGCGGGATGTACAAGTTTGCAGCCACGTCCGGTCAGAATTGGGACGTTAAATCCGTTCCTCGTGAAAAGAGAATGTCAAGCTCTTTGCACGTTAAGAACCCTTGCAACAATTCTTTGAGGGTGGTCTGTTGCAAGGTTAACATTTATGTCCCTATCCAATATACCCTCATTTTCTAGTGGCAGTCCAAATTTCCCCGACCTTCATCCCGGATGGCCTCTTTTACAAGACCTACCTTTTGTATTTATTGTTAACTTGTTCTCGTCCTGAACATGCATGAAATATTAGCCACTAGACGTTAAGCAACCAACAATCAATCAATCAATCATAAGTATCCACAATTCATTTATTGCTCCATTGCGAGCAATGGGACCGAAACATATCATTTCTGGATAATATTGGCCTCAAGTCTATGTCATCGTGTCTAGTAGCTTAATATCTGATGGGATATAGTGATATTGCCCTGCAGATCATCTAGGGAGTTTCCTCAGTCTGGAGCAGTGATACAGGTAGAAGGCCGAGAGACCACGCTCAGGCTCATTCTCATATGTGCACGTTGACAAGAGTAGGCGCAATCGTTTACAATCAATATTGATTGATTGATTGTTGTTTGCTTTACGCCGCATTAGCACAGAAAGGCTATATCGCGGCGAGAGCTAATTCGAATATTATAACAATTTAAGGTATATTTTTAAAATCAGACAAAAGGTCTTTCAATAAAACTAAAATTCTAGACTAAAGCAAATTGATTATTTACAAATAAAAATCAACACTAAGATAACGTGATAAAAATTAAAATCGTTTTAAATATAACAACATTTTTATATTTTATAATATATTCCAATTTCTTTTAAGAATGAAACAATATTTGTAAATGGAATATTATTAAATAAATCATACATATTATTGACATTGAAATGCTTCTTCCGAATATCAGCAAAGTCAATACAATTGATTAAAACATGTTTAATAGTATACTTGCAGTTACAAGGTATACATTGTGGTTCTACTTCATTTTTTAAAAGATATTCGTGTGTTATTCTAGTATGACCAATACGACATCTAGAAATAACACACTGATCTTTTCTGCACATAAAATTATTGAAAGGTTTACATAAATTAGGTTCAATTTCATGTAATTTATTACCATCTTTTTTACTCCATTCATTTTTCAATATATTAAAAACATATTCTCTAATATTAGATTTAAAATCGGTATATGGTATATCACAGTTAGATAAAGGGTCACCCAGGGCATTCTTTGCCTCAAGGTCTACAGCTGTGTTTCCAAGGATTCCAACATGACTCGGCACCCATAGAAATAATATTTCTTTAAGAAGAATTTTTAAATTCCTCATTACATATAAAATTTTGAGAATTGTTGGGTTTTTAATTTTAGTATTTTGTATAGCTTGTAAGCATGAAAGTGAATCAGAACATATAATAAATTTGGATTTATCTGAAGAAGCAATAAATTTCAAAGCCAAAATGATTGCTTCTGCTTCAGCAGTAAAGATCGATGCATCAGATGGCAAACGGAGAGTTGCAGCTCTGTCCCTGAAGACAGCAGCAGATGCAACTCTGTCACCATCTTTTGATCCATCAGTATAGACAGTTGAAAAATCTGAATAATTGGCTTTGATTTCAGCATAGTGTTGCTGAATTAAAAGAGGATTTATTTTATTTTTATTGTGTTCACGGAGATCAAATATCATTTTTGGTTTGGGAAGTTCCCATGGAGGACATTTGCAAGTTTCAACTTGAGCAACAGATTTTAAATCAAAAGAAGCTAAATGTGATTTTAAACGTATACCTAACGGAGGAATTTTATTTTCATGTTTTGCAAAAATATCTTCATAAATTGGATTAAAAACACAGCTGTAGGCAGGATTATCTGAGTAGGCTTTTAGTTTGACAGCATATTGAAGTCCAAGCTTCAAACGTCTGTTAGAGAGTGAGTGCTCATCAGCCTCTACATACAGACTCTCAACTGGTGAGGTTTTAAATGCGCCAAGACAGAGACGCAAACCCTGATGATGCACAGCATCGAGAATCTGTATGTAGGACTTCCTTGCAGAGCCATACACTATAGAGCCATAATCTAGTTTAGATCTAACTAGAGATCTATATAAATTAAGTAAAATGTTGCGATCAGCACCCCAGTCGGTGCTGCCGACAACTTTTAAAATATCTAATGCTTTTAAACATTTCGATTTTAATATTTTGATATGGGGTAGAAAGGTTAACTTTTTATCGAAAATTAACCCAAGAAATTTGGTTTCATCAACCATTTTAATTGGGTTGCCGTACAAAGTGAGTTCTGGATCAAGATGCAATTTCCTTTTGTTACAAAAATGCATCTCGACCGTTTTTGAAGTGGAAAATTTAAACCCATTTTCCGAGGCCCATTTTTCAATTCTTCCAAGACATAACTGTAATTGTCTTTCTATGTTATTCATATTTTTGCCTCTATAACATATTAAAAAGTCATCAACATACAATGAACCTTCAATATTACTTTTTAAAACTTCAACAAGGCTGTTGATTTTAAGACTAAATAATGTAACAGATAAAATACTGCCCTGAGGGACACCCATCTCTTGATCATACAGATCAGACATGGTTGAATTTACTCTAACATTAAATTGTCTGTTAGATAAAAAATTCGAAATAAAATTTGGCATATTGCC